CTATGTGGGTTGGGCAGCGTGTGCTGAGGCAAGGAGTGCTGGTGTTAGTCTTTCTCGGCTGCCTTGCTTTGTGCGCTTGCATTGGAAATCTCACAGCAGAACATGTGCATCTGTGTCACTGGCATGCTGGCGAAAGCTGACGTGTAAGAATTGCCCTAAGGGTTAATGCCATCTCCTTTCTGAAGCGTCTCAACGCTTTATCTTCAAAACTAGCTGAAGTGTTATTTGTGGATGCTGTGGTTCTCACTTCCTTGGTATTCCAGGTGGCTGAGGCGATACAGGAGATGGCAGCATGGCGACCCTTGTCCTTGCTAGCTGGGGTGTCTAGGTAACCTGCACACGGTTGTGAAGCAGCCTTGATGAAGCTTTAGGAGCAGGAAAAGTCTGTTCCTGGTGGGTGAATGGGGGTTTGCTACCGTGGCATAGCGTGTACCCACTATGGCTTTGGGGGCCTCACGGCTTGGTGGCTGGTGGCTAGCTCAGCGACCAGTCCTGAAAACTCATGTTGCAGATGTTGCCCGCTTTTCCCTGAATCCCTTGGTTCATGGGTTTTCGTCTTTTAGTCATTGTTTCCCATCTTAGCTGCTGTGTACTTTTGTTATAGGGAGCCGGATACCTGGTGCAGCAGCAGCCTGTGTAGACTTGTGTGTAAATTGGTAAAAGTTCTGTTTTCATCTGTTGGGAAATATAAACACACACCGGGTATGATAGAATTATTTATATAACTTAGAACCCTATTCTTTACTTGAACCTCACTAACAGCTAAGTCTGACCACTGTGTCGTTCACAACGTACATTTACTGAGACGTCCTTGCTACCGAGAGCACACCGTAGACTTCAGCGTCAGAAACGATGGAACCAGAATTGCTGCTAGCTTTCAGGTCTGCGACTGGTAGAAGTGTGAACTAAATGAGTCAGTGTTGCTGTATGAATTTTAACAGAAATAACTAGCGTAGACTACTTTGCCAATTCACAGAAAAGGCTGATTCCACAGCTGAGATGTAAGGCTGTATATAGGTCCTTATTTTGTGACTGAGATTGTATCTGTGAAAAGTAAGGTTTTTAAAAGAGTGGGAACATTTGAGAATGACTTTCTGTAGCCCTTTAAGTAATGGAATGTTTATTCTACCAAGTGGATTAAATTTAGTCTCTGGGAAGCAGATTTGTTCTCCTGTAAGTTACGACTGCACATTTATCTTTTAGTCCTAAATTTAGGATCAGATCATTCAGATTGTTAAGCCTATGGTTCCTTAGCATTTTCATAAATAAGTTTAAGAATTCACAGAAAATGCTAGGATATTCCATTGATTTTTGGATTTCAGGCTCTTAAAATTCCTTGATTTTTCGAAGGTAATAAATATTAGGATATTCTCATTTTTTTTAAACTGGTGCGTCTGGTTTATTTCACTTAACATTATTTATCATTGCTATTGTGTTCTACTCTTTTCTCATGACTCTAGTGTCCATCTTGAAATTCAGTTTTCTAGTTTTGTTTTCTTTTATTAATTCTTTCAGTAAAGCATCATTACAATAAGTTATCCATCCTTTGTTTTTCTTTGTAAATTAAATAATAGTTTGGTCAGGAAAATTTTTTTTTACTGTCTTACTGTGTTGAGGGTTCTGCTGTCAGTTTATCATTTCTTTATAGGTTATAGTTTTAATAATACTTTTTATCTTTCTTTGGTAGTGTCCAAATTTCTTGACTATAATCTCAGTATAGGTTTAGTTTTACTTACTCTCCTGGAATTTCATGTCTTTTGTTACATCTTAGTCATTTTCCTCATTGCTGAGACACAACACCCAGAACACACAACTGAAGGGAGAGGTTTGTTTTGGTTCACGGTTTCAGTCCACGGCCAGCCAGCTCTGTGGCAGGTACGGTACTGCAGTGAGGCACGGTAGAGGAAAATGTGCTCAACACACAGCATCCAAGAAGCCGGCATGGAAGAAATTCTCATATTCTTCACTGTTCTTCTCCTTTCCCTTCTTTCTCATGGTGTGCCCCGGCTGCTTAATACTAATTTGTGGACAGTTAGAATGGCTTTCAGGACAGAGGAGTGTTGTTCTCAACTGTATGCCAGCTTTGCCTGGAGCAGCAATTTCCCCTGGACTTTTGCCCCTCTTTAAGGTGAGGAGTTGGGTGAGGATGTTCTAGGTCCCCCTGCCATGAAGACCATGGGTCTCTAAGATGAAGGCCCCAGAAAGTACACCTGGAACTTTATGTAGAAATGTGAAGAAGCTAAAGAAATCCCTACACGTGGGGCGAGTTCTGTTACTATTAGAAGTATATGCAGTGATTCTAAAAACCTTTTGTGGATTCTGGCAGTTTTATAAGAAAAGTATGACAGAAAGAAGTACCATTTTTTCATTTTAAAAGTTCTACTTATTTTTAAGGGAGGAATTATTTAAATACTACAAATGGGTTTAATAAATCTGTGGCGCCTGAGTATGTCCTGCAGTCCATCCTATATTGTCATCTGAAATGATCATGACCTTGTTACCAGAATGTTTCTAATGTTTAACATTCCTTCATCTCCCTCAACTTCTGGACTGGCAGAAACCCTCAGCAAGTTCCATGGAGAATAGACAAAGCACTGTAAATTTTAAATTTATTTTTCCATCTTCTTTCTTTGACATTAATTTTACCCCCTTACGACATTTCCTGGTGTGGTGTGTAAAGGTGTTGTTTGGGGTGAAAACCGCTTTGGTTCCTCAGTTTCTGAATGGCCCTGTCCACAGAACAGAGCCTGATGAGTAGCCCCGTGTCCAGGAATTACCCGAACACCTGCCTACCCTGAGAGACTGCTTTTCAGTTTTTCTTTTTGTAAGTTAGCAGACACCAGCTAAGCACTTAAATAGGATATGATCAGCTGAAAACAGGGTTCAGGACCAATGAGCAGCTGCTTCTCGAGGGCTGCGATCCTCGTCCTGGCCATCTGGCATCCACCCTTGCTGCTCTGGAGACCTCTAGGGGGTGGGGCAGGAACCTGGCTGCCCCAGCCTCAGGTATGTCTGGGGACCCCGGTGTGCAGCTGAGGTGACAGCCTTTCTTTTAGGCATTCAGCGAAGGACACATTCACCAGAACTCCGTAGTAACCTGTGTGCTAGAGGACCTGAATGCACTGAGCTTTTCAGTACCAAGTGTGGTGGAGCTGGGCTTCGAGGGTGAGTCAGGAACGAGTTGGAAGCCAGCCTCTGCCAACACCCAGTTTGTTTGGACAGATGTTCTACTCTGGCCTGCAGCTTCACTCCAGCATTTACATTAGCTCTGATATTTCACAGCACTGTAGCAGTGTTCTAATATTTTCTGTATCACATCAGAAAGTTAGTAAATTCAGAATTTCAGTGCCATCAATTTGCTTCAAGTAGCCGTGTGATGGAAAGACCTTTGGTTGATGTTGGGCTAATGATTCACCACCGAGAGGATTTGGGTTGTATGAATTTGAAATTCTTGGGGTTGGCGTTGATCGTTCCATTACATAAGAAGGAAGTGCTTCCTGAGCCATTGAGCACCCCCACGGGGCCTTCCAGTAGCTTAAAGTCGACAGAGAAGACCCGCCATGCGGAGGACTTGGCTCTGTGTGTTGGTGTGCACTATGGGTGAGTCTCACATTTGCAAAGGCAGATTTGGAAGCCCAGAGGCCAAGTGGTGGGATGGGGCGAAGGCAGATAAGGTGCAGTAATAATACCTGCCCGCGTTATCTCACGGGGCTTGCTTCACAGTAGTTATCGCTTATGCATTGTGTTACCGCTTGGCGCCTGTTACAGGCTGGGGTGCACCCTGGGAATGAAGAATATAAAGAAGGAAGGTGTGTGGCCTTGGCAAGAGTCTGCAGATGGTTAATCGCAGTTCTCATTTGTTAGCCGTTCACGCTGTGAGCTCTTGGAAGAGGGCTGTCTCTGTTCTGTCCGTGTGTTGTGCCTAGTGCGTGGTGGAGAGGGGCTGTGTATTGGTTATATGAATGGATGAATGATTCTGTTGAAGTGCTTCATTCTGTTGAAAATCTGTTGTTATTATAGACGTGTCTCCCTCACACAAACTGAAATGAGTACGATGTGAATTTCCTTTCCCTGCTGGAGTAAAGGTCCAGCAGGCTTGAATATTGTAGTCTCACTTCAGAACCTTTCAGACCACTGAAATGGTCAAATTTTCAGTTTGACTTTGACTCAAAGGTTAGTTTATTCTTTTTATTCCTCAGTATTATTTCAGCAACACCAAAAGTACCTGCTTTTGACTAATTTTTTTCCCATATTTTTATTACTCTGAAGCCCAACATTTCTTTTGGGAAGGAAGATAAATTCTTTCTTTAAATTGAAGAAAGTCCCATCATGGATGTACTTTAAGAACTGGATCTCAGTCTTCCACCTGTGGGGTGGTGGTGTTTGGGCTGCAGTGGCTTCATCGTGTGGCTGGGCCCCTCAGCACACAAATCCACCCTGACCGTGCGTGGACATGTGTGGGGCTGAGCTCCTGGTTACCCTAAGTGAGGTCAGGGGCTCTGTTGGCCCCTTGCTCTGTGGTCATTCAGGATGTGAGTAGACAAGAGTTGTAATCTCTCTCATGTGTTCACAAGAGCACTGTGAGGCCTTGGGCCCGTCTCTTTATGACAGGGAGAGGCGTCTTCTTGAGGAGCACACGGGCTTGTCCAGTGCAATCCTGTGTGTGCTGGGTGTGGCTGGGAGAGGCCTGGGTGGGCTGATGCTGGGTAGCGGAGAGGGCCTCGGACTTGAGCCTGGCCTGCAGCCCCTGCTGCAGACAGGTAAAGCCACGCGAGGCCAGAGTGGGAGAGGCTGTGACAGTTTGTTTTTAGCATCCCCATAAAGTAAATTCCCTTTTCAGATAAGATTCCTACAGACTTGGCCCATTCTGTTCAATATGGCCTACAGGGATTTGGCTGTAGGCTCTGGATACTTCTGTATTTCCCCAGTGTGGCTGCTGGCACGGATGCCACTTTAGGTCATGAAATCTTACATCATTTCTCCCTGTTCTACATTATAAGATCAGTGCTATCCTTGATGTGGTCGAAACGGGCTTTAAGTACTTCACTGAGTTAGAAGTGGAACTGACACGTGTCCTGCAGTCAGTCTGGAGTCCTGAGCTCTGCAGGGCCCTGCCTGCTGGCAGCTCCGTCTTCCTTGGAGATGTGGACCACTCCAGGGATGTTCCCAGCAGGATAACTGAGCCCACAGCTGCGGAGCTGCAGGGTGGGTGAGGAAAGAGAAGAGAGCGTCCGTGGGACTCGTGGTGCGGTAGTGAGCAGCCTTGGACTGCTCTGAGAAGTCCCCTGGGGGCCGAGCCCTGCACTTCAGAGAAGGAAGGTCCTTACCTGAGGGTCCTCCTCCTCCTCCTCAGAGTCCGGTTTCCTGGGGTCTCCAGATAATCTCGGTCCCCAGACCAGCATGGCGCGCAGATGCGGGGGGGCTGATGACAATAACAACTCAAAAGCACCAAGCTTGCCCTGACAGCTCCATGTCTCCATTGTACTTTTTCAGAGTGCACATTCACCTGTACCAGCGGTAAATGCCTGTATCTTGGTTCACTGGTCTGTAACCAGCAGAACGACTGTGGGGACAACAGTGATGAGGAAAACTGTCTCCTGGTGACCGAGCATCCGCCTCCAGCCATCTTCAATTGTAAGTCCCCCCTCTCGCCTTGGGAGCCCTGAGTTTGAGCGCTGTCCACTCTGAGGTGGACGGGAGGTAGGGTGGTCAGGACGTGGAAAGGCTGTTGTTTTTCAGTTAAGGAAGGAAACTGCATTTTCACAGGGAAGTATTTTCTTCTTTTAGGGCAGAAAGATGATGTGTCTGAAAGTCAGAACTTGGTTCTGTTTTCAGAGGTGGTTGTGGCTCTGTGTTTTAGAATGGGCCTTGCTGCTTAAGAAGTGCAGATAGATTCCAGGATGTTGATACTGATATATCAATATATTGATAGATATATTGATATATGGGTGCATCACACCAACTTTATAGAATTTTTTGAGTGTATCATTTCATGAGTAATTTTAAATAAGCAAAGGAAAACATGTGCAGAGTCGGTAATGAAGAAAATAGACATACATGAGTTGTCTAAAGGTTCTTAGCTTGTGTTTTTCTATTAGATCTGCGTGGGAAGCAATATGTGTGAGATCTTGACATGACTGAATCCTCAAGGCAGAGGCTTTGAGCATTTATTGGCCTTGAGAAGGTGAAATCAGAGTCTGAAGCTCATTGATTTTCGATCTCTGGTTTTAGACAAGGAAGGAGGCAGAGGGCAGGAAGAGTGGATTGCCGCTTTCTGTGCTTTCTGAAGCAGGCTGAGGTTGCGAATCTTCCTCAGTGACTCAGCTGGGAGGATATGTGCTGCCCTGGCCCTTGCAGTGGTCTGGATGTGTGGCCCCGGAGCCTGGGTCCTGCTCCCCTGTTGGTGCTGCTGGGAAGTAGGGGCCTGGCCGGAGTCTGTCTGTCCTGTGAGCCGCGCTGCCAAGGGGATGTTGGGACCTGGCCCTCCCGCTGTGCTCTTTGTGTTCTGCGTGAGCCCTGGGGTGATACATGGCCTTGCCGCAGGTGTGAAGCAGTGGGCTCCTGCCACACCCTGAGACCGCTGATGCTGTGAGCCAAAGTGTGTCTTTCCTCTTCCTAGGCTGATTTACCACAGACGGTGGTTATGGGACGGGAAGATCATGGACACAGCCTCTTCCTGGGGCTCTCGTGGGGTCACTGCGTGTGCACTCCGCTTCTGACCTCAGTTCTCTCACGCTCTTCCTAGGAGTTGGATTCAATACAGAGTTAAAAATGCTTGCAGTGGGGATTAGACTGCATAGGAACCACAGCAACAGACAAGAGAATGGGAGAGGATTCAAAAGAGACCTCTCTCTGTTCCTACTGTATTTTTATACTGGGAGAAAGCCGTGCGTGCCCCGGTATGAAACTGTGTGCTGGCAAGTTGTGAGTCTGCTATTTATGCTGCTAAGTTCATGGGTCTGAGGGTGCAGTTTCCCTCTGTTGTGTCAGTTTGCACTTCCTTCCACTGAGCTGCTCCAGGTCTGTGCACTGAAATGCGGCTCTCAAGGTGAGACTGAAGTGCGCTGTCTCAGCGCTGTGCCCACGTTCTGCATGGCTTATGTTTTCTGCAGCGGCCTCTGCACAGTGCATTGGTCTCCTTGGGGACAGCTCTGTCTGTCCTGGATGCTTTCGCTACCGCTGTCCTACTGTGTGCGCAGGGACCATCACAGGCCAGGGCCCAGGGAGGAAGGCTGCTGGCAAGAACAGTGGTCCAGGGATGTGTGGTTGCCTCTCCTGAGGACCAGCAGGACGCACCAAGAGGCTGGAGCACAGAGGCACCATCTTGTGTCTGGGAATGAATTCTGCTCCAGCCTCTACGGTGTGGGTTCTGCCCAGGGACTCACTCCGCTGCGAATGTTGCATTTCCTCCTGTGCCTCAGCGCCATCGTCCTCTTGATGCAGACTCAAGCCTGGCTACTCTGAGCACCAAGAACATCCTGAGGTCTGAGCCCTGATGTCGGCAGCTTGACTCGGGTCAGGGCGTCTTCCCAGGAGAAGGACAGTGATGGGCAGCCTCTCCTTGTGGTTTCTGTAGGTGTGTGTAACAGCAGACACACATGGCAAAATGTGGAGAGGACATCGGCGGCCTGTGCGGCACTGCGGCTGGGGTGCGAGGTCTGCGGCGAGTAGGCCGATCAAGCCCGCCCTCCGCCCGGAGCAGCGCAGTCTGTGTCTGCAGACACTGCCGCATCGGTTCTGTGCTTCACCCTCTGCCCTTCCTCTCTGGTCCGTCTGTTTCCACCCTCCTCTCCTGCCCCTCTCTCTTTCTCATCAGTATTCTTTCCTCATTTTGAAATCACATCCACAGGTAGCTTTTGTATTCATTTAAATAAAATAAACCCTTTAATTTTGTTTGGGAGCAAAGGAGAGCAATTAAATCCATAAACAGCTCAATTTTGCAAAATTGTATTTGCAGTCATAGCTTCTACATGTAGGTGTAACTAGAACTCGTTGTGGTTTTGTACTTACAATGGGAGTTCATTTACCCTGTTCTCTCTTGTGAGAACAGTAGTGAGTCAGGAGGCAGGATGGCAAAAGGGCAGGACTGTGACTGTAGCTTCAAGCTGAGCTAGATTTAATTTTAGCTAAAGGAAGTGACCGTACCCCCTTCAAGGGTTGTCTGTGTCTACGGAACAGTGTTAACTTTTGCCGTCAGGGTGCTGGGAGGACTGGCGTGAAATAATGTGCATGGGCAGTGCAGGCTTCACAGCCACAGCCTCGCTGCCCCTGGCATGCCTGTCCTTTCTCAGGGAGGTGGACTCTGACTTTGCTCATCTGCTGTCCATGTCAGCTACTCTCCTTATGCAGCAGGAGTGTCCTGGTGTCTGAACCTGAGTGCCACCTGCAGTGCTGGCCGTTGCCCACCATCCTGTCCCTGGGGAAGGCTCCCCGGGACGTGTCCAGCTGAAGATAGTTTGTTGGACCTGGCCAGTGGCTGCCCCGTGCTGCTGTCCCCGCTCTCCAGGCACTGGAGGAGGTGGCCATTTGTCACATGGGGACATTCGCTGGGAATTGTGGCTCCTCTGTGCTTTGTGGCTGGGGACACCCCTTGCCTGCTCTTTGCAGGTGCTTCCTGTGGTTAAGGATGTGGCTTCCCAGGAATGGAGGCCAGAGATGATCTGGGATGGGTGACTGTGTTCTTGCCCCACTGTCCTGCCCAGCAAGAATGGAGAGGAAGCTAGGAGCGTTTTACTTCCCGTGAGTACTCAGGGCTCAAGTCTCTGGGCTCCCCATCTGTCAGTTTTGATGGATTCATACATTTGATTGTTGCGTCCTTTGCCGATGCACTTCCTACACAGAGCGCCCTGTCCCTTGTACGTAGTGCCAGCCCTGCGCCTCCATTCTCTTTTGCTTTCCGCCTTGAGAAAGTTGAAGTATCACAGGGATTCTCGTCTGTCAACACTGCACTGCAGGAGAACTAAGTGTACCATCTTTGCACCTGCGTAAGAGCAGGATTGGCTCACTGGACACTTTACCCTCACTTGAAGGAAATATTCAGTGTTCTGAGCACACTGAGGAGGAGTCTCCTGGACTCCCAGATGGCTGGAATAAACTTCCAGTCTGTGCCCAGCTTTGTGTGTGCACCAGTGCCCAGCTGTCCAGACCAGATCTGTCTCTGTCTGTCTGTCATCTTGAATTAATGTTGGAAAGAAAAAGTCACTGTGATGCATACAGTCCACGATGCTGATGACCACAGGAGCCTTGTCCTCATAGCAGCTGCACACAGCTCTTCCTTGCACTGCCTAGAACCAGACAGGGGCACCACTGCTTCTCGCTCCTCTGCCCTCTGCTGTGCCGGCCACGACTGCATGTCACTGACCAAGGTGCCTCGTTTGCGGTGTGACCCAAAGGGCTTTGCACAGATGTGGAAGGCAGGCTGGTGCTGATATCATGGGGGAAGTTTCTACACGTGTCTTTCTGGGGAAGGGGGAATATGCTGAGCTCCCAGCTTCTTTTACACTTTTCCTTTGGCTGCTCTATCAAAATACCATACTCATGAGCACTAAATGTACAAATCATGCAAACAGAATCACTAGTTACCTGCCTTCTGCCATTGTAACTGGCGCTATGGGGAGGGTGAAGGACCCTGCGAGTCAGGTCTCAAGTGTGCATGTGCAGAGGTGAGGGGAGATGACACGGGGTGAGGCCTGAGGGCTCCGCAGCACAGCTCAGGAGAGGAGAGTTGCTCTGGCGGGGCTGGGGTGGATGGGGAGAGGAGGGCACTGAGCAGCCGGAGCAGGGGTAGCCTTGAGGGTGGCCTTGTCTTGGGGCAGGGGCTGGGCGGGAGGTTGAGTTGAGAGTAGGTGGCCCAGAGAGGAGCCAGTGTGCAGGGCTGCACCTTCCACCTGAGGGTCTGCGATGCCAGGGTCCAGACGCCCCACAGCCTTCTACGAACCCACTTCCCCCTGTGTGCCTGCTATAAGTGCCCTGCTGCTCAGCTGCACCCTGGTGGAGAGTGGCCCCTCAGAGGTTTGCACCACGTGGGAGAGAGGTGTGCTTGGGAGGCTGAGGTAAGAACAGAGCTGCTGTGGCAGTGACTGCCAAGGAATTCATGCCCCTGGGTCTTCGAGGAACCAGAGATGCAGGAAGCCAGGGGAGCCACTCCTCATTTTCAGCTCTGAGGTCTTCAGGGGGCCAGAAAGATCTGATTCAGGGAGGTCAGGGTGGAGCAGCTACCACCCCTGCTAGGTGCCAGAGCTGCTGCTTCCTCTGCAGGTGTCCTGCAGTAAGCAGGTCTCCCCATCAGATGCACTGAAGCCAGGAAGCTGTACGCAGACGAAGCCAGGGCTTCACCGTCAGGACTTCTTCAGAAAGATTTTCTTGCCCCAAGACGTTGAGGATAGTCAGAACCAAACAAGTAAAATCCAACACAGCCTCACCTGAGTGGATTGCCTTGCTTTCCCAGACCCTCTCCTCCAGCTTCCTCAGCTTTTCCCACAAAGGAGCTAGAACCCACTTGTCACTGGTGTTCAAGGCATTGGCCACCACTCACTACACACCATGCCTTTGCTGCCATCTGTCCCACGTGACGCTGGCAGCTTCCACCTTCAGTGTTTTGTTTATGAGAACTTTGTGCCTAGGCTCACAGCCAACCATGTGGGAAACCTGTCCACATCAGGTTTGTGTGGACAGTTAAGCTATGACCACCAGAGCTTTATTCCTCTATGATTAGTTCAATAAGCATTGACAATAATTTTCTGATATCATCAACTATCCTGTTAGAGTGCTTATTTCTGCAGTTATCTTATGCACATGTTTTGATTTGTTACATTCACAGTTGTTTGAACCAGAATCCGAAGAAGCTCCACGCACAGTGATGGGTTGATGTGCTCCCTGGGAGTGTATCTACGCTGTGCGTTCTCCTCCCCTACCATCTTTCTCCTCTCCCTCTGCGTTGCTCCCCTCCCTCCTCTTTCTTTTCCCTGTGCTTTTGATGTGCAGGTCTAGATTGCTGGTTTTGTAGACTCCCATGCTCTGGATTCTGCTGCCTGCTTTCCTGTGGAGTCGCTGAATATGCTGTCTGAGCCCTGCAGCTTCTTCCCTTGGCAGGTAGATCTGGAGGTCCAGAGAGAAGCTGCCTGATAGGTGCAACTGTCTTCCCGTCTTCTGACATCTTTGCAGACCCTGACACTCCTCATAGGATCCACTGGGCATAGTGGACACGTGACGGCTCCCTCCCTCCCCTGCCGCTCAGTGCCCTGTCAGCGTGGCCCTCAGAGCCCTCTGCTGTGAGGCAGCTCCTCACAAACTGCACATTGTATGAGAAGACATGTAAATATTGGCCAAGTGATGGGTAATTGTGCTTGGAAAATCTAGGTCTGATCAGAGGATTAAAAACTTTTGTTTTCAAGGTCTTGTACACTGTGTGTCGGACTGGGGCTTGGAATATCCGTATGTTTCTGGAAGCCTCTGTGATGGGACAAAGATGACATGAGGTCTCTCTCTCAAAACTGTCCAGATTGAGTTTTGTTGCCATAGACACCAGAACTAACCTAAGTGAAACCTGCTCTGTTGTGAGTATTTACTCTGGGACCAACAGTGTGAGAGACCGTGTGCTTTACGACAGCCAGGGCTCCCTGATCAGCAGCTCTTAGGGACCAACCTTTGGCTTATGAATATCCTTACCCTGAGGTATGGAGCACAGGGTCATACCCAGTCCAGAGGAAGTGTGAGGTGCTTCCCACTAGCCCAGAAGGAGTACAAGAGTGTGTGTGTGTGTGTGTGTGTGTGTGTGTGTGTGGTGTGTGCCTGCACATGTTTGGGTGTTCTACCATAAGTGTCTGTGGTGTGTGACTACATGGGTCTGTATGTGGCCTGTGTGCATAAGTAGGTGTGTGAGGGTGTGCATAAGGTGTGTGGGTACATGGCCTCAGCCACTTGCTGTGCTGACCAGAGCAGGTCTCCACTTTGTGTCCATTGCCCCCACAGTGTGACAGACAGCTGTGTGCACGACCACTGCCCGTTGGCATGTAAACTGCTGCCTGCAGCCCCAGGCTCTGCTCCCTGCTCCTGAGGTCATCACACGCTATGGGCTAGTAGGTTGCTGGGCTCCTAGTGCCTCCTCTTCGATGTGATGAGGGTTGCGATGTCGGCCTCTCCCTCAAAGTGAGGTTCTGAGGAGTCCATGGAGCAAGCAGCACAGGTGAAGCAATCAGAACAGGGCCTGGCTCGAGGCACCTACTCAGCCTCGTTACCCGAGGTGTGTGGCTCCCTGGGTGGGGTGCCGGCCCGTCCCAGGCAGGGCCACAGGAGCGTGGTGCCCCAGAGGCAGGTGACTTGTGCAGGCGCACAGCCAGAACAAGTGCGCTGGGTCCCAGACCCGGCTGTGACTGCGCTCAGTGGCGGTTTTGACTTTCCGTTTGGGTTGGTTTGCGTGCTTGCTTGCTTGTTTTCCTCTCATGGTTTTTTCTAGTAAAACAGGAATTCATCCTTCAGTTCTTAAAAGGTCTGCAGGGGTTGGGGTGTGGAGCCTCCTGGTCTGAAGGCCCATAGAAGTAATTGTGCCAGGAGCAGTTATGCATGTGATTCACAGATTGTGAACACCTTGGTTGATGCTGGATTTTTAGATAGATTGTGAAGAATTCACCTGGGGCCCTGCTGTGTCAGGGGTCACCGGCTGCACTGAGCTCTTTAGGGTTTCCTCCATTGATGATGAGCTGCCCCGCCTGGGTTCTGTCCACACCTGCACTGGGCCGCCGGGAGGGTGGCCCCGTCCCCGTGCCCCTCGGGAGGTAGCCATGAAGATAGATGGTGTGGCAGGCAGTGGGCTGGCTGTGCTGTGCCACTGTGCCCTTCACCATGAGCCCAGGAGCCCCTCAGCCTGGCAGGCCCACAGCCCAGATGCTAATGTCCCCGGTAGGTGCTTGCTGAGACCTCTCAGGTCCCGATGGTGCCCGTGCAGGGTGCCTGCCTGTGCTGCACCTGGGGGACTGTCTTTTGTGTTGTCCTGGAGACTCTGAAGCTCCTGCACAATCCTGATGGCAGTCCTGGCAGCCAGCTGCAGAGCTGCTTGCTTGCAGGGCGCTCACGGTGCTGCAGAGCCTGTTCTGCAGGGCTCCCTGCCCCGTCCAGCCCAGGCATGGAGGAGAGGATGGAAGCAGCCACCAGCCTAGACCTGTGTGCAGGTGACCCCAGGCAGTCTTCAAAGCAAGGTGAGTCTCTGGGCTGGGAGGGGTGTGGGTCAGGTTCCAGGGTTGCGTCCGCAGCAGTGAGCTCTACCTGGTCCCTCTGTGGGTGGCAAGGACAAGCCACTGCTGAGGGGGTCACAGCGGGTCCTGTCACCCCGCCCTCTCTTTTATTTACTGCCTTCCTTTCTTCAAAAGAGTTTTCTGCTCAATGAAAATCTTGTAGGGTCTCAAACAGTAATTCTGCCTTTTCAAATAAGCAAAGGGAGAGAACAAACGGGAGGGAAAGTTTTAATAAACCTAAGGCATCATTTCCTCCTGCTGTGACACTAAATTTACCCAGAGAGAAGCAGCCTCTCAGATTTATGTTGCGATTCTGTTGCTGCTTTCTGGCTTGTGGGGCTGTCCCACTTCAGATGAAATTCATTCACTTCTTTAAATATTTAGCAGTCTAGTGTGGATGTTAATGAAAGTCTGGTGGTGCTATTTTGAGAACTGCGACAATGATAGTAATTTTCAGTGTCAGATTCCTGCTTCAGAAAGGAAAAGAGGAACGGGAGGAGGAGGAGGCAGAAACAGTTTCAGTTCTAATAGTTTGCATCTACGGCCGTGCCAGACAGATGGGTCATGAATACTGTCTAGACGCTCGCTGCCGGCACGGAGCCCTGGTCTCTGAGGACACGCAGCGAGACACCGGCTTAAGTGACTGGGGAAAGTCAGGGCAGCGCTCCTGTAATCAGACAGAATCAGCCCCACACAGCTTCCTGGGGGTGGGAGTGGGGCGCTGGGCAGGGGAAGTTCAGAGAAAGAGCCTCTGTTGCTGATCAGTTTACTGCAGACCTGACGATTATGAGGCACTGGGGAGGGCACGGAGGGACGTTGTCGTGTGGTAGCATGATGCGGCATGCTGTAATGCCAGCGGCGTTCTCGAAGGCCAGAGAGAGCTGAGGTGGAAGGCAGAGTGTCACTTGGTGTCCCTGAGCCAGGCATGCAGGCACGAGATGGCCTGTGTGGGCGCTGAGGGTTCAGTGCTGCTCTGGGAGAAGCCGTTCGTCCCGACTGGTTATTTCCTAGAGTATAGCCTTGGAATTTGGGAGGTTTGGACTCGCCCTTCTGCTCAGGAGTCTGGGGACTTTGAAAGCCTGGGTGCTGTCATGGGCAGTGGTGCTGCTGGGGTGCCAGGAATTGTGTGAACCCCGCCCCCCCACAGACTGCTTGGCTGACATGAGTGGTGGGAATGACTACTTAGTTCTTCCGGGAAGGAACGAGGCTTTCTGACATCCACAGTGAGCTCTGTCCACGGGAGTCCGGCAGTGGGGAGGGTGCCGTGTTGGGGCAAAGCCAGGTGAGGCGGGCGGAGGGTGCTTGCTGCCAAGAGATGTGGCGGACACTGTGCTCCTCCAAGTGGAGGTGGGAGCGTGTTGCTGTGGCTCAGTGGCCACTTGTTCCATTTGCTTTAAGCGTCATCCCGAAGCGTTCCCTGTGGCGTGTGGAAGGGAGCGCTGTGCAGTGCGGATGCAAGGCTGGTGTTCACAGCTGCCCTCGATGTGTGGGTGAGGCAGGGCCTGAGCCTGTGCATCTGGGTGACCCGTCAGGGTGGGGAGCATGCGTCACATCTCCGTGGAGACCAGCACAGGCCTTAAAGGACAAAACCAAGGGCTGTGTTTGGTGAGAATTGGTTTTTCACCGCTTCCTCCATTCTTAATGAAGTCCCAGGAGCTTTTCCAGAGGGACAAGGTGATTTTTTGCTCCTTCCTTCCTAGAAAGAATAGGGAAATAAAAACTTAAAAATCTTACTGGAGCGACAGTCACTGGAGCGGAAAGAGAAACGCTGATTTTCAGGAGGTGCACGTAAAGCACGAGCAGGCCTGTCCTTGTCTGAACCCTGCTTTGGTCATCCAGGAGGGGCCGTGGCCTTGGGCAAGGGTGTCTTCCTTCCCTACACCTTGCTTTGCCCCTCAGGCTGTCTGCTTAGGGGGAGGCCCGGTGGTCTGGGTCGGGGCTCTTCCCCGAGGCAGCTCATATTTTGGGCCGTGTTGTATGATAATAATTTATGGTCCTTCTGCATTATGTTTGATGTTAGGCTGAGGTTTCCTGTGTGCGTCTGAACGCAGCGATGTGTGCGGCCATGTGACTGCCTACACACGGATTGTATTGAGCAGTTACCATACCCACTTAAATTACCCTAAACGTTTGATGCCAGAGGGGCTTGAGCGGAGCCTCTGAGCTCTAACGCTGTGGGCCCTGACAGGCATGGTGGGGCACAGACTTCTCCTGCAGCCTGTCCCGCCAGCCTGGCTTGCAGAGGGCTGCAGGCTGGGGCCCTGCACAGCTCTGCGCGGCAGCGGCAGCATCATGTGGGTAGTGCCCCCCGCCGACACTCGATGGGCGCCCGAGTCTGTGCCCCCTGTCCTTGTAGGACAGCTGAAGAGAGCACCCTCGCAGTCTCACTCTCCGTCACGCGCGTGTGGTTGTGCATGTGTGGAGTGCGGTGATGGCATGGAGAGAGGGCTGATGAAACCAGGATGCTAACTGCCAGTCTGCCCGTGAGAGACCAGCAGGGCCCCTCGACCAGAGGGGCCGTGCACCCCAAGCCTGTGCCGCCAGGGCCTGTGCCCCCGCGTCTCCAGCGCTGTGACTCCTTCCTCTTCTCAGGATGTGATGTTTTAATTGGAGATAGCTGGAACAAGCAGCCTGAGAAGTTATTTAACTGCGCTGTTTCTTTTTTTTTTTTAATTTGTCTTTTTGGTACTGGGAATAGAACTCAGGACCTTGCACTTGCCAGACTGGCGCTTACGCCACTGAGCTATATCCCTGGCCCTAGAAGTTAGCCTCTTCTGAAGGAACAAGATTCTAGGACTGATTTGTTTTCAGAAGTTGCTGAAAGAGAAGTCGTTATTGAAAGATAACATCTGGACAGGGTTGGGAGTATTCTAGAGGAAGCACCATTGAGGTAATCACAGGCAGAGGACGATGTCCTGCAGAGCAGCGGGAAGCTGCTGCTCGGTGGATTTCATGGAGCGTGTCTTCTGAGCATGGCTGTGGAGGGGCGTAGCACTGGGCCACGTGGGGAACTCACAGCGCACTCCGCCCATGCTGAGGAGGCCCGCTTGCTCCTGAGGCCGGGAGTTGGGGCTGACGCCAGCGGAAACCCATAGAAAAGTTCAGAGGTGACCAAGTCCAGCACTGCTCTGGGTGCCTGTTCCACGCCTCAGTGGAAGAAAAGGACCCAAAGGCGCTGCCTCCTGGAGGCCTTCCCCCGGCCGAGAGGGGCATGGGAGGTGTGCGTGGGCGAGCGCGTGTCGTTGGATGTGTGGACCCAGAGTCTGGCGCCTCGTAGCAAATGGCGCCGCGTGTGCACTGTGTGGAGGCCGCCCTGCTCAGGGCTGGAGTCCTGTGCTTGTTTTCGCTCGTGGTAGTGCTGTTCTCCAGAGGGATGTTCAGCCTGCCTTATTGTTTGTGTTTGTTCTTCTGTGGTGCCTGGAGGAACCCAAGGTCTTACACGCACTAGGCAAGAGCTCTACCGCTGAGCTGCACCCAGCCCGCCCTGCTGCCTTTAGAAAGCAGGCTGGAACCCCACAGTGTTCCCCTGGGTGGCAGACAGTGTGTCTCCTCCGGTCATAACGGACCCAGGATGCCATTGTTAGGGTCGCTTGTGAGAGAGGCCCCGGTGGGCAGTGGCAGTGAGACCCGGCAAGGAGGTCTCCAGGGGTCTGCGACCAACGGGCCGTGGTGGACTGGAGCTGCAGCAGGCAGCAGGCCTGCCAGGGGGACCGCGCCCTGCCGTCAGCCATGCTGGCTCCCTGATCACAGTGCCGGGCTTGTGAGTGAAGTGCACCGAGGGCTGGGAGCCTGCGCGAGCAGCAAGACTTCACACTGGTGTTAGCGACTGTGGAGAAGGGAGTCTGGGAGCCATGTGGTAGGCTTTGCCTTCTTCACCACACGGCTGTTCAAGCCTTAGAAAGCTCCTGGGGAAGGCTTTCAGCACAGCAGGGCGGGCGAGCGCATCACCGCGACTGAGGGAAGGGCACCACCAGAAATGCAGGGGTCCCCCAAGCCTGTCCAAGTCACTGGGCCTGGAGGAGCCAGGGCATTGCCTTTTGGCGGGGAGCAGCCTGCTGGACCCAGTGTGTGGCCTGGTGCTCTCTCCAGGAGGTGTTTGTGGGAGACCTGGTCTTCGTGGGCAGCCTTCCCTGGGATCTTAGGGGAGAGTGACAGGAAGTCCAGACCCCCAGCGGCAGCCACTGTGGACGGTTTTCAAGGGGAGGGAGAGGCTTTCCTGCCTGGCTGCTGCAGACACGAGTGGCCAGTCTCCACGGAGCACATGGTAACTCCCTGCTGGTGGCACCCAGGGTGTCCAGACGAGGCCTGATGGACACGTGTGCTTGGGGCAGGGCTCCTGGACGAGCAGGACCGTCCTCAGGGCTAGCCACGTCGCCGGTGCGCCCTGTACATTCATTTTACCTCCCTGACTTCAGGCTCTTGCCCCTGCACACCCTTGCTGTGTCCTTGCCCTTCTTCCACTTCAGAGGCCATGTGCCTCCCTGACCCATTTGCAGCTTCCCAAGCCTGGTGCTCAGAAGAGGGCAGCTGTGCGTGTCCTGGGGCATGTGATTGAGGAAGAGAATGATGTTCCTTCCCTTTGTTGCCTGCTAACATGGTAGCTGCCTCCTGTTATTTTTATGTCTAAACAGTCTTAAAAATGGTGTTAACACAGTCTCATCTCCCAATGTCACTTTTTGAGATGCTGAAGAATGTATCATTTCTTCTGATAGCCCTGAGTGGTACCATCCAGCATCTCCCCCACCCCTATAACGCTGAGGTTTCTCTCCAGCTGTGGGTAGTTAACCCGGGTCACTTTTCACCTTGTGCCATGGGGAGTGGCCCAGCACGAAGCCACCTGCAGTCACTGCCCTTCAGGTGCCCTGCAGCACCCTCCATCTTTTGGGGTTGCAACCGCTAAGAAAGGTGTGCAGCAGAGCAAGAGAAAAGGACCCAAGTTTTCTTTTTAAAAATGGGCTTCTTAA